CGGTCCGGTCCGGTCCGGTCTGTGTTTCAGATGGGAACCAGTGTGAGTCCCATAGTTGTATCCATGGCGACTGCATGGACCAGTACCAGGACTACAAGTGCCTCTGTTACCATGGATACGAGGGCAGATACTGCCAACACAGTGAGTTTGACCTTCGGGTCAAAACCACGATGAGGGTCCAGGTCAGGAGACCGGTACCAGTTTAGACCGGTTCTAATGCGGACATGATCATCTATAACCATGTTATAACAAAAAGACAAATTAACCCAAAACCAAACATTGATTTACGATGCTTTAAGCTCCCAATAAAATCTAGACTCTGTCCAGATGTAACAGCCACAAACTGCTCTGTGGACAACGGCGACTGCGACCACGAATGCTCAGAGCGAAGACGGCGCGCGGCGGCGCTGCAGCTGCCTGGACGGATACAAGCTGGACGACGACTCCAGGAAATGCAGCCCCAAAAGTGAGAGCGTCAGCCGGCTGCGTTACGGAGGGAAAGGCTCCGATGACACTTTAATGCAACACTTTGAGAGTTTGAACTGATGCAATACATGCTACCCACCAGTAGGTGGAGAAACATCCTGAGCACGACTAAAAGCTGTGCTAGGCTAAAGCTGTGCTAGGCTAAAGCTATGCTAGGCTAAAGCTGTGCTAGGCTAAAGCTGTACTAGGCTAAAGCTGTGCTAGGCTAAAGCTGTACTAGGCTAAAGCTGTGCTAGGCTAAAGCTGTGCTAGGCTAAAGCTGTGCTAGGCTAAAGCTGTACTAAGCTAAAGCTGTATTAGGCTAAGCTGTGCTAGGCTAAAGCTGTGCTAGGCTAAAGATGGATTTGACCTTCGACTTTAATGTTACAACTCTGACATCACAATGATGTCACACCCATGTTAACCTTGTTCCAGTTGCAAACTGGGAACCAGTTGAAGGTAAACCGTACCACCGAGTGCAAATCACAAGTTTATCTCTCCTCCTCCTTTTGAGCTAAAAGGTCAAAAATATAATATTTTAGGTCAAGATTTTTGCTTCGGGTTCTGAAGTTGATTTTTACCAACTTAAAAATCATAAAATTCCAACTTTGAAGTAGAACACGAATGCAGCATTTTAACTGAACAAAGCCATAGAGACGAAGCATGAACTGGCCTGGATTCCTGCTAACATGCTAACATGCTAACTGGTTTCCTGCTGGTGCTGCAGGTGCCTCGTCTTGTGGTCAGATTCTGATCAGCAGGTCGGAGTACAGCGAGCCGGTGGACGGCCTGCTGCCCTGGACGATCGGAGGGGAGGTGGGCAAGAAGGGCGAGAGTCCCTGGCAGGTAACTGGGAACCAGTATGACTTCCACAGGGAAACACTCAGCAGACACTTCACCTTTAACCAGAATGTGAAAAAAGAGATTTTACTTCAGGTTTTTATCGTTCTACCTCAAACATGAAACCATCAGATTAATAACTCATTCTCAGCCCTGGAGTGGAAAATCTGCTGATTTTAGAGCCTCGTATTTTGAAGGCCTGATCTTCCAGCAGACCACAGGAACTGGTCTGCTGGATCTCTGCAGCTCCACATCAACACGTCATCGTCTGCAGAAATGAGAGGAACCCAAACCTGTCCAAACTGAGCTTTGACTTTAGTTACTGGACAAACTGAAACCGGATGGCTTTGCTCCACTGGAAGGGATTACATGTATGACATTGAAGAGAACCAAGAAAGTCTCAATGGAGACATTATGTCTCAGGAATGTTTCACTGCAGGAAACATTCCTGAACTTAAAACGGGTTTTCAGGATCGGTGGAGCAGAACCTCCACTGAAGCTCCGCCCATCGTTACAGACGATGATGAAGACGGAGCTGAATGCGATGAAGAGTTCAAATCATTCTGATTGGCAAACAAACAGAAAATGATTTCAAACAGGTAATGTTTTAGTCAGATTGAGTAAAGGTCAAACTGTTAACACTGAGCTCTTATTTTGGATTCATTTAAAAAACACAGATATTGGGTTTGCTGTAACTTTGCTCAGTTACCAACAAACAATCTGCAAATTGACGTCAGATTTGGTTCAAGATGAACTAATGAAAGTAATGAGAGCTGCATGTTTCAGCAGTGTGTTAATATTTCATGCATTTTTGCCGTCCAGGTTCTGGTGCTGAATGCCAGGGGCAGTTTTCACTGCGGAGGGGTTCTGATCGATGAGAACTGGGTCCTGACTGCTGCACACTGCCTTGAAGACAGCTTCAGGTTCAGCGTACGGCTGGGTGAGCGCGCCGTCTGCAGACACAAAATGATACTGGAGTATTTGTTTTTTTCATCTTTTATTCACAGCGCAGCAGGTTTCATATTTCATTTCATCCTTTCATCAACTTGGGAAACTTGAGTCATGTAGCAGAAACTGAAAACGTTGAGCTGCTGCTTCTGCTGTCTTGGTATTGAAGATCTGGTTCTATAGATCTACATCTATTAGTGCATGAACACTGAGATCAGTGGTGTGGACTCAGTGTTCTGCTGAGTCATGACTGGGGATGACTCAGCATCCTGTGGTTTCATTATTGTTATTTTTCATATTTAAGTGTCTATCTGGGCCTTAAACTTGAATGATCTATGAATGATCCAGAGTGATCAGATGAGGATGAAGAGAGTAAAACAAGCAGCAAGCAAAGACATAAATGGCAAAAGTTTCACTTTCAGTTTCAAGCATTTGTCATCCTGAAGTGAGTAAAGCCTCAGTAAAGCATAGAGAGTCATTGAGCTGAAGTTGTGGCGGTTCTGGTCCAGGAGTGGATAAATAGAAATGTTTCCAACCTCTGCCTGATTTATCAGACAATAAATCTCTGATTCTCCAGGTTTAGATCTGCAGCTCGGCATTGTGGGAGAGGCAGTTTCTCTTTCACAATAATGTGACAGCAGTGTTAAAAATGTAGCAGCTTATCATGACCTTGACCTTTTCACTCAGGTGACTACGAGCGAACGAGAAATGAAGGCACCGAGGTTTTGCTTAGAGTCGCAAAAACCTTCAAACATCCCAAGTACAACTCCAGGACGGTGGACAACGACATCGCCCTGATGCGCCTGCAGTCGCCCGCCCCGTTCTCCAAATACATCGTCCCCGCCTGCTTACCTGGCCGCGCCTTGGCCGAGAAGGTGCTGCACCTGAACGGCACCACCACTGTGGTGACAGGCTGGGGTAAAAACGACAGCGGGAAGCACAGCTCGGCGCTCAACGTCATCAAAATCCCGCTGGTTAATCACAGCTTTTGCGTGCAGCAGATGTTTCCCCATGAAATCACCAACAACGTCCTCTGTGCCGGGATCCTGGGTCAGAAGATCGATGCCTGCGAGGGCGACAGCGGGGGGCCGATGGTCACTCTGTACCGGGACACCTGGTTCCTGGTGGGCCTGGTGTCCTGGGGCGAGCGCTGCGGCATGGTGGACAAGCTGGGCATCTACACCAAGGTGTCCAACTACAACGAGTGGATTGCTCAAGTACAGGAGGAATGGAACCGAGGACATCATCCTCAGTAAGAGCAACCCGCCTGCTCCGTCAAACCACAGCATCCACTCAGAGCATCAGCGCTGGTGGAAAACGTTTTGTTAAATAAACCTGGTAACTCGAGAGAGTGTGTCTGTTTAATCACCACTGACCTTCGTACTGCAGGTCAATAACCAGACATGTTGAGCTTTCCTCAACCCGACTCTTCAGAAGCATCTGGACGTGTTCCATCTCTTCATCTACCGTCCAAAATAAATGGAAAACCGAGATGTTTTAACGCAGATTATTTGGGTCTCATCTCTCAGACCCACTGGACACATTTAACATCTTTGGGGAAAATAATTCAGCTTTGAAATGAACTGAATTAGATAAATAAAGTGACAACAGTTTGGTCTTCCCACGCTCTCCTGGGAGCCGTTTATCATTTTAGTGTGAAAACAAACATTAAATGTGATCATCATCATCATCATCATCATCATCATCATCACTACAACAAGCAACAAACTATAAAATGATTACAGTGATCAGCTCACAATGCAGAACTGTTTATTATATTCCTCTAGTTAAAACTCAGTTTCTTAAAGGGACAGTCAGGTAATAAATTCACTTGAGGCATTTACTAAAATGTTCTGAACACAGTTTGAAGGAGATATGATGGTAAATTCAATCTGAGTAAAGATGGACCTGAGATACAGAACATCAGCGTCAGAACGAACATTAATATCACCAGAATATGAACTTTAATAAACTCAGCGAGTTTATTAAACCTCGTCCACATTTAAACAACTTCTGACTAGTTACAACAGTTACAACCTTCATATTTTAACACCATGGAGTTCTGCTGACCTGAGATTTTATTCATTATAATACTGGAACCGGATGCTGACTCAGCAAAACATTTCTCTCTAAAACGATCCTCTAGTCGCCTGGATTTAAATTTGTGCTTTTGATTAAATGTTTGAAAAACAGAAACAAGTTTCAGGTCAAATATTTGAACCAGTTCAAGACGTCAAAAAAACACTTTTTATTTAGACTTGAGAAAATGGATTTATTGCTTTTTCCTTTGATAAAACAAAAGGTATTAAATGGTTTTTAATTAAGAGCAGAAATAAATGAAGTTTGTCATTTAAATCTTTTGATTTAAATTTCATTTCAATAATAAATTATTGAACTCTTTGAAATCCAATTTGCTGATTCGTCAAAACTTCACTTTCACATTCAGTCACTTTTCACTCCGATCATTAAATCAGTAAATAAATAAAATTCTTAACAGATTGTTTTACTTGTTTTTTATGGGTTTAGTTTTCTAAAGTTGAAACTCTGAATGTTATAATGTTCTCCACATATTTTACTTTATACAATTTAAACACTATTTATGTATTTCTGAGTCACTATTAACTGTTAATGTTTCTACTTCCTCAATATTTACTCTCAACTCTAATCTCTTAGTTTAGTGACTGATGGTTGTTTGATTTCAGTGTTTTGTTCCAGTTTGCCTCAAACTACAATCTAACACTTTCAGTTTTCAGCAGCTTCATCAGGACGCTCCCCTCCTCTTCCTCAGCTCCTCCTCGTATCGCTGCAGCTGAGACATGAAGCCGGGGTTCGGATCCACGACGTGCCGCGCCGTCTTCACCCTCTGGGAGGAAACGACAACAATCAGAACCGAGGTTCTGTCCGGCCGCCGGATCCGGTTCCAAACCGACCCGGTTCCAAACAGACCCGGTTCCAGACCGACCCGGTTCCAAACAGACCCGGTTCCAGACCGACCCGGTTCCAAACAGACCCGGTTCCAGACCGACCCGGTTCCAGACCGACCCGGTTCCAAACAGACCCGGTGCCAAACCGACCCGGTTCCAAACCGACCCGGTTCCAGACGGCTGAAGGACGATGCTGCCCTCTGCTGTCGGTTCAGATAAATCACTGATCTAAAATAAACACTTTAAACTGCAGGAGCAGGAAAATGTTTCACTGAAACGTTTTATTCAGTGAAACGTTGGTTGTTTTTCTCAACTAAAATTATTTTAGTTGAGAAAAACAACTAAAACTGAACAGAATGAAGAAATATAACCAAAAAGAGGCAGAGAGGTTTCTGCTCCAATCAGATCAATATGGAAGTTCACAAATCAAATCAAACAGGAATAGAAATAGCCTCTATTGTCCCAAAGAGGAGAAATTCATCTTTAGCAGCAGCATCAGATATAAATGCAGCAGCATAATTAAAGTTATTCAGGTTTTTATTTTACTGTTTTATATTTTTTCTGATTTCTTTGCATCACCTCAGTTATTCTTTCTTTATTAATGTAATTATTGATCAATCATTTTAACGCTCTTCCGCTTTAAATATTAAAAAGTGAAATGATCCAAGACTGTTATTGTAATAAACTGATAAACTGGAGATCAGCAGATTATTAAATATTCCTCATTTAATCCTGATGGTTGAGTCGGATGAGCTCCTTCCCATCACCCTAATCTTTAGTTTCCTTCATAAATTCAGAGTATCAACGCTGCTTCATCAGAATGAAACAGAAACATCACTGGGTTCAAAGTGACCTTTGAACCCAGTGACCTCTGACCCCAGTGACCTCTGAACCCAGTGACCTCTGACCCCAGTGACCTTTGAACCCAGTGACCTCTGAACCCAGTGACCTCTGAACCCAGTGACCTCTGAACCTCAGACGTCAGCAGGCATTTATTCCATCTGCCGGGTCCAAAGTCACCCTGGATATTGAAACCTTCGGTTCTGCTGAGCAGACGGATCCGCTCAGCGCCGGTTCTGTCTGATCCTGTTACAGATGCTGGTTCTGACCCGGAGTTACAAATATGAGCTCAGAGGGAATTTAATGTGTCTGTTCAATATAAAGAAGGTCAAAGGTCACTGTTGAAACATCTGCATCACATGGTTCAGTCCGGGGCTGTAATTGGTCCTTTGTTTGGGCCGAAGCCGAACCGGACCCGGTTCTGCTGCTTCCCTGAGAAAATCTGACCGTATGCAGATGACTGTGTGATTTCTGTTGGTTCCGGTTCTTCTGGGACCAGAACCGAGCTGGACATGGTTCATTAGAAGCAACATTTCCTGTCAACATGTTTCACGTTTGATGAACGGGGAACCGGGTCACCTGTAAGGCCTCCGCCAGCGTCAGCCTGCGGTGCTTCATCAGGTAGGCCGTGCAGATGGCGGCCGAGCGGCTGCGCCCGTTCTTGCAGTAGACCACGCTGCGCCCGCCGCGGTCGGCCTCCTTCTGGATGGCGTCGGCGCAGCGGTCAAAGTGACGGTACAGATCCTCGGCGGGGTCGTCGTAGACGGGGATCTGCATCCTGGTGACGCCGCTGCTGGTCGGGAACGGCTGCTGCTTGGACACGTTGATGCAGAGCGTCACCGCCTCCTGCTGGATGAGGTCGTCGCTGCAGGCTGAGCGGGCGTTGCTGATGAACAGAGCCTTGGTGACTTTACACAGCTGCAGCATCCTGACTGACCCTCTGAGGCCTCCGTACTAAACCTCAGCGTTTACCGAAGCTTCCTGGTCAGAAGGAGAAAAAGTTTAACTAAATGACAAATTTTATCCAACATCTGCACTAAGATCTGCTCTCAACTCCTCAGATTCCTGATGATGGTGAAACTTTATTGAATAACAGAAAAGAGAAAAAGAAATCGTTGGCTCTGAACGTTCCGAATTTTTGCTGAAATCTGATTTTTTCTGTTCATGCTATCGATTCAAAGCGACTTGTGAAACTAATTAGTTTTAATACCCATAAAAACCAGATTATTACAGCAGTGAAGTTTCTCCAGCCTGGAAATGTGTTTTATTCATTTCTCTCATTTTTCATTTTTGTCTGAAATTAAATGTTTTTGCATTAAAATGAAATAATAAATTTTCAATCTGAACACAGTGGATCCTTACAGGTGTGTCACTTGGGTATTATTCCTCATTTATTTCAAAATAAAAAACACATTTCAACCCATAACACACGCACACACACACACACACACACACACACACGCACACACACACACACACACACACACACACACACACACACACGCACACACACACACACACACACACACACACACACACACACACACACACACACACACCGTCTGTCTGACCTGCTGCTGGATCCTCCTCAGTGAATCTGCGTTTCCTCAGAGGAACCCGTTCTCCGTCCGTTCCTGCAGACCGACCGATCCGCTGTGTTCAGGCCTCCTCATGACCCCCAACTGTTCTGATCACCAACACACACACACAGACACACACACACACCCCGCTCCTGCTGCTATATTTATGCTGCTGGCAGCTGCAGGGTCCTAATGCTACTCAGATTAAAGCCTGGAAGGAATCAGAGTGTGTGTGTGTGTGTGTGTGTGTGTGTGTGTGTGTGTGTGTGTGTGTGTGTGTGTGTGTGTGTGTGTGTGTGTGTGTGTGTGTGTCTGGACTCGACTGCTTCTGTCTGTCAGTGTTATTTAGAATCATCATCATAAAACACTTTACTGAAGAATCATGTTTGGTTCTGTTTCACCTCAAAGATCCACTCAGATCTTTTTTCAGCAGTTTTTCTGTTTTATGGTTTGAAAATGAGGGAACAGCAGCGGATGAGACTGTATGTTATTAAATCTTACATATCAAAATAAGAGACATGCATGAATCACTTTAATATTTCTGACTGATGAATGTAAATATCATTTCTGTTCAGAAAAGAAAAATGCTGACTGGAGGGAAATAAAAGCAAAGTGAGAAACTGAAATCTGTTTTTCAATGTTTTAATGAACATTTTTCAGGTTTCTCTGTTTTCTACAGATTTATTTCTCTCAGGCTTGTCACAGAAAAAGGAAAACAGGTTTTTAGTAAAACTGGAAAAATTTACAAAAAAAGATTCTTTACTGTAAAGAACAAAATGACAGATATTTATACGTTATTACTCAACGTCAAAGCGATGCAGAGGTTGATGAGGTTGATGAGGTTGATGAAGTTGATGAGGTTGATGAGGTTGATGAGGTTGATGAAGTTGATGAGGTTGATGTCTGTGGCAGGGAGGATCTCCTGTAGCAGTCTGTTACAGTGAATCAGCAGAAGCCTCTGACTGAAGACACTGTTGTCGTTTAATGTCCCAGGTCATCTGTGACGTTCTGCTGTTTAGATTCAACCTTCCAGACATAAAACATCATTCATCTCAAACTCATCAGAACTAAAATGCTCTTCAGAACTTTTCCCACAGTTGGCCAGTAGAGGGAGCCGGTTCCCACCTGTCTGTGAGGCTCAGTGTTCTGGTTCTGTTGCAGATTGCTGAAGATGTTGGAAACTCACACAGCTTTGATTTACTTCACGTTTCCCAACGCCACCTGTTGTCCCTGCAGATGTTTCGGGACACTCGTCCCCTCTGCGTTGGACAGACACGTCGTCCTCACATGCAGGTGCGTTGTGGCGTGTTTTTTCAGCTTTGCAGCGTATTGAAACCTCTCCCCACACGAGCTGCAGGAGTACGGCTTCTCTCCTGTGTGCGTCCTCATGTGGACAATCAGGCTGTTGCTCCGACTGAAACGTTTCCCACAGGTTTTGCAGCAGTGCTTCTTCTCGCCGGTGTGCGTCCTCACGTGAGCCTTCAGGTTTCCACTCTGGGTGAAGCTTTTCCCACAGATCTGGCAGGAATACCTTCGGTCGCCCATGTGGATGGCGGTGTGCCACTTGAAGGCTGATGAGTTGGTGAATCTCTTCCCGCAGGTGTTGCACAGATATGGCTTCTCCCCAGTGTGGGTTCTCATGTGGACCAACATGCTGTAGCTGCCCCTGAAGCTTTTCCCACACGTCTCACAGGAGTATGGCCTCTCGCCCGTGTGCATCCTGGCATGATATCTCAGAGTGGACGCGGCTTTGAAAGATTTCCCGCATTCATTGCAGACGTGCGGCTTCACTCCCGTGTGGCTCATGTGATGCATCTTCAGGTGATAGTTTTTCCTAAAGACTTTTCCACAGACGCCACATTTTATGGCGGCGCGTCCTGCCTGAGAAACACTCTGACTGCCTGAAACCGGATAAACGTCCTGGTTGATCTCTCTGCCATCGACTTCTGGTCCTTCCTGAAGAATCTGTTCTGTCTTTGTGGATCCTAGATCTACAGCCTTCCCTCCTTCCTGATGCAGACTCTGGAGACCATCAAAGGTTTCCTCTGCCTCTTCTCTGGCTCTCTTCCCCATCTGAAGCGCACCCGAAAGGTTTTGGACTCTTCCTCCGCCTCCAGTTGATCCGTCTGCAGACTGCTGCCGGGTTCCTCCTGCTCCTCTTTGACCTGTGGAGGTTTTGGCTCCTCCTGCTGGTGGCAGAGCAGCTGCTCGGCAGGAAGCTCCTCCTGTTGCAGATGAATGTGTTGCTGTGGAAAGTCTGACAGGGAAACGGTATAAATAAAGTTCAGAAAAACATCAACACAAACCTGTTTCATCACTCCCATTTTTATAAAAGCTGAATGTATTTGTGACAAACTTTTGGTAGAAAAGCAAACTACTGCCCTCTGCTGGTTAACTGGAAAACAAGCTTTAGGAAGTAGATTAAACTACTTCCTGTTTGGGGTTTAGCCAACCTAGCTTTAGCATCACAGTGAATAACTGTTGGTGCTTTAAACCAAAACATTTAGTATGTTTAACTTTGAGATGCATAAAATAAAACATATGATCTTATGCTGACAGTTAAAGCAGCAGATCCTTCCTCCCACACAACAAAACTGCTTTTAGTTGCACATTTTTCTGTTTTTATGAAAATATATAGAGGCACATTTCCCTCTCTAAATAATCACAATCAGCTGCAAATTACTTTTATCTAATGCTATTTTTACCTGTACAGTTTTATTAGTCTTATAGTGAATATTTGTCCTTGCAGTAAAGTCTGTCATTCTTGTATTACAAGACACTTTTAAACTGTTATGTTATTCTCTACCTGACATTTCAGAGTAAATGATTCATTTTTACAGTAGAAAATACAACAGGCCCATTTCATTTGCAGCCTGTTCAGTCTGAGGGTAAAGAAGCAGCTCATTGTCCCAGAATCACCTGATCATGCAGCGTCCTGTGTGTGTGTGGCCCTTTAAATCTGCCACTCATCTCTTCTGATAAATGTCTGCAGCTGCTTTCACATTTAAACCTGGCTGCTTAAATGAACAAACCAGGATCCTCTGGGGGTCACATCCTGCATTTATATGAAACTCCATACCTGCTGCTCGCTGAGGGATCTGTGTTTCCCAGCTCGTCTCCATCAACCTGCGCTGGCGGTCCAGCTCTTCTTCATACTGAATGACGGTTTTCTCAAAAACTCCGAAGATTTCCTCCGCAGCAGCAGCGAGCCGCTGCCTGATGAACTCTCACATTCAGCGCTGAACACATTGTTGTTCCTGACCGGAGAAACCCAACAAACTGCCCGCACAATGAGCTACGAGCTACAAGCTACAAGCTAGCTTCTCATTGTTTACTTCCGCCTGGGGGTCAGAAGATCCGCACCATCTCAACGCCGGCGCACATGGAGGCGCCCTGGCTGGGTGGAGTCTGTGTCGAAAACTCGCCGCCTGCTTTTAAAAGCTGATTTGTCCAGATATGAGTCTTTCAGTTAAAGACACAAATGTCCAAAGTGCGGCCTGGGGGCCATTTGCGGCCCCTGGACTGATTTTTGTGCGAGAATCATACAAATATGACTCTCTGCAGCTGGTTAATGCAGAGGGAAATTTTAATTATACCCATTTTATTCATCCACTAACATAGTTTAGTTAATTATTACAGGTATAAAATCTTGGAAAAAAGAAAATAGTGGATTTGCATTTTCTTTAGTTTCATCATAAACTGAATCATCTCTATCCAGTGACCTTTACTCAAAAGCAGATTTAAATTTGTTTTTAAATCATATTGTAATATTACTCTTTAAACATATATAGTGTGTTCCATTAATTCTTTCTCACATGTTTGAGAAATCAAACTTGTTTTTATGTATCATCTTAATTCTAATGTTTAGGAAACTTTCCACTTTTAATGCAGGAAACCATCAAGTGGAGGCCAAGATGGACACAATATCGCTGCAATATAAAAGCTCAGACTTCTTCATACCAAATCAGATTTTAATAAAAGAAAAAAAATCTTAACTTTTGTTCGTTCAAAATAAATTACAATTAAAAGGACAAATTTAGGGTTAAACTTTGCTCTTATTTCACTCATCCATTTTGGGAGTTGAGTTCAAAGTCCAACTGAAGACAAACTGATGGCCACAATAACACAGTGAAGCCTAAACGATACAAAAATATTTCAATAATATTATTATTCACTGACTTATGACTGTCATAATTTTATTCTTGTATAATTTCAGCTTTATTTTTGTTAAATGACTTTATTCTCCATCTTATTGTTTCTTATTTCGGCTCCAACACTAAAGAACAGATCAGTGGAAATCTGAATTTGTGAAAATGAAACCTTCAGAAACAGAAAATCGGATTATTTGTCCAGTTCCAGGCTGAATCCTGTGGAGCTGATCAACAGACAACAGAGACAAATGGAAGTAAAACATGAACAGAAGCAGGAACGTCACCAGAACGACTCGGCTCACAAACAAATGCAGGAAGTGATTTTATTGGTGGAGCTGAGAAGTTTTCATGCAAACAGCGACGTGGAAGCAGAGTGTCGTCAGCGTTTTATTAGCAACCAGACAGAAGATCCAAAAGAACCAACCCAAGGAAACGGAGCAGTTTCTGTACAGGTCCAAATATTCTACAATATGTACTCTAATACAGCAGGAATACGGAGGAGCCGCGGGTCGGTGACAGCTGGAGGTTCTGATCCGAAGCATCCTTCCTGCTCCGGGTTCAACAACTTCAAAGTGCAGTTTTATATTTCTTCACTTCAACCAGGAGCAGAAAACTGAGTTGAGAGGCAGGGAAACTAAACAATGACACTTTAAAACGGATGATTTCTGAGTTTTAAAGAACAGAACCAGAACAAAACCAGAACAGAACCAGAACAGTTTCCAGTCAGCAGATGGAGAGAAACCTGATCACTGGCAGGTCTGTGAGTTTGTCCCTTTAAGAACAAACTCACAACTTCCACAAACGTTTAACTGTCTAAGAGTCCAGTGATTGAGCTTTCATCAAATTAAATAAAAACTGGAGTCCAGCCACTTCTGGCAGCAACCTCCTCATCACACAGCATCAGACTGCAGGAACTCAGTGTGAGATGAGATCAAGAAAACAAGTTTTTATAGTTTATATGAGCAATAAAACCAGAGTGAGAAAAGAAAGAAAAACTTCATGTTGATGGTTTCAAACTTCAGCTGCAGAAACAAAAGATTCAAACTGAACTCGAAGCTTTTCAGGAGTTTTGATGAGAAAAGTCAGTTTGGAAACGTGTTTCCTGTAGGAACCTGGAGCCCAACCAGAACCAGAATCTGAGATGAGACATAATCCAGGAGTTCATCCGGAACCGATCATTTGGACCTTTGGTGTTCTGGTTCTGGAGCCGTCCTGAACACCGGAGCCAGGTTCTGGAGGGGAAACGTTTTGTTCTGATCGGTTCCTATTTGACGCTACAAAATCTGTCAAACGTCAGAAAAACTAAACCAAAAAAAAAAAAAAACAGATTAAATGTTTCCCAACAAAACTTCTGAGCTTCCCAATTTGTTTATTTAGTTTTGTAATTTGGTGAAATATTGGCAAACAACAGAAACACAATCATAAGGAGCAACGTTAACCTGGTTTTCCTTTGGCTGCTGTTCAGTCAGAAGTTCAGGTGAACGTCGGTTGGATGGAAGGAACTTCTGCAGCTTTCAGAGCCCAGAAACATTAAAAATCAGGTTTGACAAGAAGCTTCAAACTCAAAACAATTCAAAAAATAAAAAAAACACCCACAAGAGAAATACATCACATCTTTTAAGGAAATTTGTTCTTTGAATCACCAGACTTTTTTTAAATCTAAACTTGATTTATTTGACATATTTACTTAAATATCTTCAAAAAAGAAGAATTGCACTGAGACTTTCTGTCCACCAGGGGGAGCCATTTCCCCTCTACCTTCACTGCTCATGTTTCCTTCAGGTTGTTTCTGATTTCTGATTTTGGCAACAGGAGCTTTGGCTTCAAACTGCTGTTAAATGTCTTCATGAAGACAAAAAGGTTAAAATTTGAGATTTTGAACTGCAGAAAAACAAACGTATTTATCTGTAAAAGTTGCTGCATAAACTGACCTCCAGGTCGCATCGTCAACCCGCTTCAGTCTGAATCCTCAAATTAAACTTCTCTAAAATGCAGATCAGAAAACGTTTCTCTCTTTGGCTTTTCACTGTTGGGACATTTTTACATTCAACAGACGAGTGACGAATTAAAGGAATTACAAACTGCTGTAGAAAGTGACAGGAAGTGGGAGGATGTTGAGGTTGATCTGAGTTTAGACCTGCATGGAGGACGTGATGCGGTCAGTGTGGATCAACTGATCTGTTTTAAAGAACTTCCTGGATCAAAGCCGAATCTGTCGACCTACAATAAACGTTCCTCAGCTGGAAACGGCCTCTGATCAGAACTCTGTCTGCCAAATTTTAGAAATATTTACTTCAAAATTGAGATCAAAAACAACAGACCAAACAAGAAAAGAAGAAACGATCTGAAGAGTTTGACTTTGTGAGTTTCAGTGAGAAAAACCAGGAAGAGCGTCAGAGGTTCAAAACTCAGAGGTTCAGAATCCAATATGGCTTCCGTGCATAAAACGCAGCTGAAGTTGTACGTAGAAACTATTATTATTAACACTTAATGTTTTATGAAGCAAGTGGTTCACACTGCTGTACAACTTGTGAAACATCCCTGTAGTTTAGTGACTCACTCAGAGCTGCATCACAGCCGAAACCAGAAACCAGATCCGTTTCCAACTGAGAACGGATTCCGACACGAGAACCGAGAAAAGAACGAATCCACATCTCAGCTGGAATAAACTCATTCAGGAGAAACTTTCAGTCTGTGTTTTCCTTTAATTTGTCACTCGCCTGCGTCTCTAACAGTCGGCAGACCTGAAGCTCACTTTGGGTTGAACCCTGTAAACCTCTGCAGGAGCTGCTTCCTGCCTGCAGGGGGCGCAGTGTGACGCTGCAGGAGTCCAGCCAAAGCAGGTGTCGGTGATGAAGGCAGCAGAGTTGAACAATGGAAGCGGTTATGCGGGGCGTCTCCTCTGTGGGCCAATTTTCACTT